CGCGTTTTTTACTATCTATAAAAAAACATCTATAAAAAAAAGTTGATCTTTAAATAATCTTGAACGCTATATAATTACATATAGGAAGCAAGCATAACAGTTATACTTTCCTTTCGAAACTGTGAAATTTTTATATTAAACGTTTTTTAAAATAACAAAAACATTGTTTCCGAGATATTTGGACTGTTTCAAATGAATATACTGTAGTATACAAGAAGAAGATATTCAAAATGAAGTACAACATATCCAAGAGTCATTGAATCGATTTATATACATATAATTACTATTTCTACTTCACATGAATTATGAGTGTCTCTAGCACTATATGTAGCAAAATTTTACATATCTCTAAATTATTCATACGTCAAAATTAATTTGACGCACAACGCATCAATTAAGAAAAAACATAATCATCTATCATATAAAAAAGGGGGAAAGGAATAAATTATTTCTAAAATTATCACGAGGAATAATTTGTACATAAATGAGAAAAGATAAGCACAAACTCTTAAACAAATTATTCAGAAAATGAAAGTTAAAAAAATTATTACCATCATGCCAACATAATATTGACATTATGCATGATCGAAAAACGATTACTTCGATGAATACTATGAATGTTATTATTGGATATAATAAATATACAATTTCGGGCAAAATTGGCAAAATAAATTTGACTTTATTGTAAAATCGTATAATATATCCTGAACTAATGTACAAGAAATCGTCATGATATTTTTTGATATATTTTTTAAAACTCATTTCGAAATTGATAAAAATTATATATGTGAATAATTTAAAAAATTTGTCATTATTATATTATTATATTATTAATTTATTATTATTGGAACTTTTCAATAATTTTGAAGATACTATAGTACTAAACTCATTTTATAAAAATAAAAATAAAGAAACAAAAATTATTCCTATGTCTGAAAAAATGCAATTGCATCAATTTTTAACTTCATACTTAATTTTAACAATAAATTGATATACTTTATATAAGTATATTACGAATTACATCACGTTACTAATATTTCATGACATAAGATTTTTCAGATCTTCGAATATTTCACTTTTCTGCACTGAATCGAACACTGAGTTAGCATGAAATTTTTAATATTTATTTATGATATAAGCGATGTCTACAGGCAATATTCACAAATATTTAGTCGACTTACTCGACGACTAAAGATTAGTCGACGTATTTACAAATAAGAATAGTTACAAATAAAAATTCTGTATTCACAAATAATAACAGTTATTTATTTTCACTAAAATACATGGCAAAAAATGTAACATTACCTTTATTAGTTTAAATTAGATTCAATTTAAAAGAAAATTAAGAGTTTCCGCAGAAAGTGACAGAGAGAAAAGTTAATATACTCGATGAGAGAAATCGAAAGGCAAAAGAAGGGCCGTTTGCTTTGAATGTTTAATATATTAAAAATATTTCTTATTTATTAAATAAATCAATCATTTAGAATTACGATTATAATGACTATTTGCTCACGTGTTCTGCACGATGTACACTCCACCGCATCTTGAACACGAAAGAAAGGTTAAACGTTGAACAACGCTGCATCCTGTACTTCTTAAACCGAGTGTTGCTGAGTACCGTTGATTGGCTATTTATATGCGTCGACCAAGATTCAAAGGGCACGATCAGCGCACATTCATTGCGCAGATATTTTTTTTTTTTTTTTT